TTTTTTTTAATTTATTTGATACAGAGACAGAGTGAGTGGGAGAAGAGCAGAGAGAGAGAGAGAGAGAGGTAGAACCCAAAGGAGGCTCTGCACTCTCAGTGTAGAGCCTGATGTGGGGCTCGAACTCATGACTTGTGAGCTCATTTCCTGAGCCAAAATAAAGAGTTGGACACTTAACCAACTGAACCACCCAGGCGCCCCTAATCTTACATTTCTTAAGATCAGATGGGTTTTACTTATGACAAATCAATTTCTAACGTATTGAATTTCCCTTGACCACTTTGCTGTAGTTTCCTAGTTTACCCAAAGTCTACCTGCCAAATGTATTCAGAAAAATACCAGAGTTCATGGGGTGATGCCAATTTATTCAAATAAGACCTTAGTAATTTAGTTTTCTTACTCACAATCAATGTCCCATTTTAACTTAAAGTGTAATCTCTACACAGATTCTTTCCTGTGCCTTCTCATATGTGGCCATTCTTGTTCTTAGCCTCATGGCATAGTCCAAACTATTCTCCCACCTGGAACACCCTCAGTCTCCCCCTATTTCCTAGGATGCTCCTTGGCCCAATACATGTCCTGCATCTTTCATGAAACATTTTCAACCCATGGTCATTTCCCTTTTCTTACTTCACTTACCATACCATAGCTGTTCTCTAATCATTTTAAGCATGTTTAATTTTTATTTATAGCAAGTTCCATGATACCTATGTATTTTGTTTTCCTCTTACACTTTCTAGCAGAGTGCTAGCACATGATAGGTGCTCAATAATTACCTTCTATTTAATTTACCAAAATAAAATGTTTTTCAAAAAGCCTAATAAATGGAGAAGAAATAAAAATTTTAGAATAGATCATTTTGTAACACTTGCTGAAATAATAAATCCTTGTTTATGATCATCAGTGGCTACTAAACACATTAATAGCAGGTGGGAAACTTTATAATGGCTAGCAACAACTGAACACACTGAACAATCTTAATGTCACAGAGAAACAAGCTGATATCTTGGCCTCCTGATGGAAATATGCAATATTGCCATGAAGTATACTTGCAAAAGAAATAAAAATGAATATCAAATATCTAGACCTATTTATCAAGATATAGGAAATTCAGACAGTGGAGAAACATGCAATCAACAAAATTGAAATTTGAAAAACTTTAAAGGACTTTCGGGGCATGTGAGTGGTTCATTCAGTTAAGTGTCCAACTTCGGTTCAGGTCATGATCTCTCAGTTTGTGAGTTTGAGCCCCACATGGGGCTCTGTGAAGGCAGCTCAGAGCCTGGAGCCTACCTCAGATTCTGTCTCCCTCTCTGCCCCTCCCCGGCTCATGCTCTGTCTCTCTCTTTCTCAAAAACAAACATTAAAAAATTAAAAAAAAAAGATTTAAGAAACATCAATCAAATGCAATATGTAGATTATATTTGGTTTTGATTTGAATAAACTAAATATAAAAATAAATTACAAAGCAAAAATATTTCTATATTGGTTACTTGATGCTATTAGGAAATATTGTTAGTGTTTTTAGATATGATTATAATATAGTTATGTTTTTTTAAAGAGTGTTTTTAATTTTAGAGATAGATACTGAAATACTAACAGATGAAATGCGAATTTGCTCACTATGGCCCAGTGGTCATGGGAGAGTGGGTAAGGATATAGATGAGACAAATTTGACTAGTGAGTTGATAACCGTTGGAACTGAGTGATAATACACTTGTGTGTGTTTAAATTTTTCCACACTAAAAATTCTGTATGAATAAATAAATAGTAAATAAA